CCTGGGACCGAAGAGCTAGCCAGGGTATGTTCTTCTAATGGCAATGGCACGGTTCAAGAGGGAAAGAAGAAATGTGGGGTCCCTTAAGGCCATGGCTCTGAACTTGGCACACTTGTCACTTCCACATATCCCGTTGGGCAAAGCAAGTCCTATAGCTAAGCTCAAAGTCAAAGGGGGAGGAAGGATACAAGTCCGTAGTAAGGGTGTGCATGCCGGGGGGAGTGAGGAATTAGAACCACTAATTCAGTGTAGCACAAAAGGCTAACTAATATTTCCAAAGGCACATCTATTGTAGGTAGCAGTTAGGGTTTGAGTTTGGCTGAATGTAGCAGAAAACCTAAATAACAATGGCTTAATGAGGTAGAGGTTTATTTTCTCTGTTGTAATGGGAAGTCCAGAGGTAGTTAGTCAAGAAGACTGATACGGATGCTCTATAATATCACCAGGGACCCAGGCTCCTTTGTTGATTTTTGTTCCGCCCTGCTTAAGGTGGGGTCCTCATCTTCATGTTCACAATAAGGCTGGAATTTCAGTCAGTACATTCTCATTTCAAGCAGAAAAAGGGAAAGAGACAGACATACAATGAAAGGGCTTTCTCTGACACCCTATCCAGTGATTCACCTATATTTCACTGACCAGGACCATATCACATGCCACCACCCCTAGCTGAAAGAGGGGGTGAGATACATTTTTCTTTTTTTTCAGCACAGAACATTGTCATTCACAACACAATCACACAATCAGGTTTAGTAAGAAAGAAAAGAAAATTGATATTAAATGGGCAATTAGCAGCATCAGACACATTCAGGAAATATTTGTGCCAGGATTTGCCTATTCATCTAAAATTATACTTAACATGATGACATTATTCTCAGCATCTTAAAAATATTTAATATTCTAATTTATAAGTAATATATGCTCATGAAAGACATTTCAGTAGGTATCTTAAAGTATAAAGAAGAAAACCTCCATGATCTCATTGCCTAGATATCACCACTGTTAAAACTTTGCTGTTTCACTTTCCTTTTGGTTGTTTTACCTTGTGTATTTAGAGTTTCCAAATTGGGCTCAGTCTCTACAAATAGCTAGCCCCTCTCCCCATTATTTTTTTTTCTTCATTTTGTCTTATAGACAATATATACTCATTACAGAAAATCTAGAAATACTAGGGGTGCCTGGGTGGCTCAGTTGGTTACGATTCTGCCTTCGGCTCAGGTCATGATCCCAGGGTCCTGGGATAGAGTCCCGCATCAGGCTCCCTCCTCAGCGGGGAGCCTGCTTCTCCCTCTCCCTCTGCCTCTCCCCCTGCTTGTGCTATCTCTATCTCTCTCTAATAAATAAATAAAATCTTAAAAAAAAGAAAATCCAGAAATACTAGAAAAGTATAAAGAAATGAAAATAATAACTTAGCCATACTCAAATAATAAATAAAATAAAATGAATAATAACTTACCCTTACTCAGATCCAATACTGGTAAATTTTTATACACTTTATATATATATTATATATGCATATGTATGAATATAATTGAGGTCATGCTGTATATACATTTTGCATTTAGCTCTTAAAAACATAAGACAAACACTTAAGGTTTTTGTTCACATTATTTTTAATATGTCTAATATTTCCCTTTATCAACATTCCTTAAATTTCAGGTGTTTAGATTTCCAATGTTTCCCTATTTATCTTGCTACTCTACACATCTATTTTTGCACAAGCTTCATCCACATTGTAGGAAAATTTTCCAGAAGGGGAAAAATAAGTTAAGATCCTTTTATACTATGACTTGTGCATTTTTGTGTTTATTCATTTCCTAGTAATCTGAGAATGTCTTTAAGCAAAGTATATTCTGTACAGTTGACCTTTGAGCAACCTGTGTTTGAACTGTGCAGGTCCACTTACTGTTAAGGAACAAAACCTCATTATCTCAACTCCAGTCAAGGTGTGGTCCTTATCATGTTTTCTCTTCTGTCATCTTACACCACCCTGTTACAGACTTCCTTTGAACAGGACATGAAATTAAACTGTGATCCTTTTTGCTTTTTTTTTGATAGTTTTTTTTTTTTAAGATTTTATTTATTTATTTGAGAGAAAGAGCGTGCCCCCTCCGGAGAGGACAAGCAGGGGGAGCCGCAGGCACAGGGAGAGGGAGAAGCACGGGGGAGGAGCAGCGAGCCCAATGCAGACCACCTCAAGACCTCAGGAGCACGACCCCAGCGGAAAGCAGACACTGAGCCAACTGAGCCACCCCGGCGCCCCTTGCTTTTGTTTTTTAAAACTAGATACTTTTATATAAGCTCCATACAACATACAATCTCTCGATTTTTCCATCCTCTCCAAACTGGCTCGTGCCTCCCCCTTGCTCCCTTTTAAAGGCCATATAGGTTCCCACACTAGCAGGTCTGAACCTTAAAAATAAAGTTGCCAGTTAGTTTACCAGCAAAATGGTTTTTTTCAGGAATAACAGACAACTGCAATTTGGGACAAGAGAGTTAACACAAAACCATAGGCAAAACCAACAAAGGAAAGGAACACTATTTTATTGAGAAGAAAGAGGAAGTTGGGAGGGGTTGTTTCTAATAAAAGTCCATTGGAGAAAAGCAAGAGTTTAGGCGGATATGGGTTTCTCATTGGCTGAGTTGCAGGGGTAGTCAATTTCTTATAGGCTACAATGTATGTCTTTCCCTGTTCAGGCCTGTAACTGATGATTCTTTCCTTTTGAGGATTCTTTTATTAGGGTCTGTAATTGACAATTCTTCCTATAATTTAATGGTGGAGTGATAGGGGCTCCCTCTTCCAGGCTCCCTTTCTAGCCTCCCAAGTCCGCTTTTAGTGAGGTTTCTCTTTATTAATTTTTTCACAAGTAAATATCATTAAGAAATCTTGTGTTTGACACTCTTAACCACTAACGTGTAGTGAACCTGCCTTTCTCTACCTGGGGTTTGGGACCTTCCTTTTTTTTGTTTGTTTGTTTCTGTTTTTAAAAATTCTTGCCCATCCTCCGGAGTTTGGGCCCGGCCACGCCCCCATTTGGCCCCGCCCATGCCGGCCCCACCCATTCCGTCCCCAGCGTTCTATCTCCATGGTTACTGGGCCGACGCGGAATACCCGCAGCTTGCCCCAAGGCAGGGCAAAGCGGGGGCAGAGGGAAAGAATCGGATAGACTGGGCTCTAGCTCTCCAAGCCAAGGTGAGCCCACTTGGGGCTCTGCGCCCTTCAGCCCGAGGCGTACCGCGAGAGGAGGGAGCGTGGGGAGAAGGTAGAGCCCCTGCGGCTGGAGACCCCGTGCAGCCTCGGTTGAGACGTAACTGTCGGTCAGAATTCCTTTGGCAGCGCCCAGACCCGGCGGAAACAGAGGTCGTTTCCGGTCGGAGGCGCCCAGGTCTGCCGATCAGACCTCGAACTCGCTCTGACCGGGCGTCCGAGCCTTCGGGCTTCTGCTGGGCGCCGCTCGCACCCCAAAGGCCAGAAATCCGGAGAGGGGGAGAAGTGGGGCGGGGAAGGGTACCGAGGGGAGTCAGTAGCGACCCCCTGCGCGGTGCCTGGCAGCGCTCGCGAACGCGCGCACACGGACACGCGCACACGGACACGCGCACACGGACACGCGCACACGGACACGCGCACACGCGCTGCTAACACGGAGTACTTGTTGCAAGCTGCTGTTTTAAGCGCTTGCTTTTTGCCACGCACTGTTTTAACCGCTACGTATATAGAACTCACTTAGGTCTTGGGACAACTCTGGGGAGATGGTGGTAGTCATATCAAATTTTTCAGAGGAAACCGGCTCACAGAGAGGGAAACAAAATGCCCAGGGTCTCAGCTAGAATATGATCAGGTCACCACGGATCCCAGGCAGTTTGGTTCTTACTGGACAAAATGCCAAGTGCTACATTATCTGAACTCTAATAATGCTGAGAGTTAGCTTTATCTACCCCGATTGCCTTTGTTACAAGACTTCTGTGCTCAGTTACTGATGCTTAGAAAGATGGGAAACTCAGTATCATTAAAACGTATTTACTGATTTGTAGTAAATGGAATTAATAACTAGGAGTTCATCTTTCAAAATCTTCATATTTCATGTAATATGCTTTATTATTGTTATTATCATTATTATCATTTTGCTTTTATGCTTTTAGTCAAAAGTCCAAACTCCAACTTGGATGTACAGGAAAGAGAATTTAGATGATCCGAGCAAGAATTGTTTTCCAAGAGTCCCATATAATTTTGAAAGATCACTTAGTGAATGTGGTGGAATAAGCATTTTCTCCTAAGAACCGTACTCTGCCACCTGCACAGATAGGGCTGGGGTTTCTCATTAAATCTACCTCCCCAATACTGTTTAGTCAGCACATTTAAAAAAACATTCATGATATAAATACACTTTTGGTGACCACTATCATTTAAATTGTTAACCTAAAAACAAGAAACCACTTCAAGGGGCAAAGCGGTTATTTGCGATAAAAGGATTGCAATTGGGGATGTACAGATTTAGGTAGAAACCCAAATAGTGTGCCAATTAAAGGAGGTGGGCTCAGGGTTTTTATGGAAGAAAAAAGTTTAGGTAAGTTGTTTTTAAGAGGAGCTCACTGGTGCTGACAAGCAGGGCTAGTTTTGTACATCAGTCATTGGTCAGTTTAAGTAATCGCTAGTCAAAAAGTTCATAGTTTGGCTTAGTTCAAAGATTTAGAAAAGAGGACATGTTAGGCAGTTCCCTGAAATACCTGTTCCAGCTCTGTTTTAAGAATGGCTCTACTTTATGTCATTTTCACAAAATAGGAAACATTTCAAGCCCAATTGGAAGTCCTCGTTGCTCTTTCTGTCATCAACAAAGTCCTTTATTTTTATATAGAACAGTTTTTTTATTTTTATAGATGCTAATAAATACTAATAAGTTAATAAATAATAGTATGACTCTTTACAAATATAATGAGAAATCTAAAGAGGAAAAAAATCACATGTAAGTACATTTTTTTAAAAAAACAATCATTGTTTTATTTAGCCAGAATGCCTCCCACTCAGGCAGAAAGTGTTATAAAGAATATCATTCGAGAAATAGGACAAGAATGTGCAGGCCATGGAGAGATTGTTTCTGAAACTCTGGCTGCTTTTATGGTAAGAATGAATATTTTTTGAATTACTGCTTTATTAAAAAGTAGCTTTAAGCGGTGCCCATTTCCCTCTTAAAATTTTGTGAAGCTTTTCTAAATGTTATTCAGTTGAAAACATATTGAGACCATTGGACTACTTAGCAAAAAATATTTTTTCTATGAAGCATGTCATTCTGGATTTATAGAGACTGAGAAGATCTTGATTTGTTTTAGAAGCATCGATAATGTTGTTCTGTGTCAGAGTTCCAACATGTATTTTTGTCTACTGTTGTAAAAATTACTCATTGCCTTGGTCTCTCTATTCTTGCTTTTGGTTTAACAATACATAATAAAAATATGATAAAATATTCAAATAGTTTCCCAATTTAAAATCTAGTTGCTGCTTTCAATTTATTTCTCCATATAATTTTTCAAACCCCATATTCAAATTTGATGGTTATTGCTTCCTTTCTTCAACCTCTAATGAAGGTGCTGATGAATTGGGTAATAAGAAAATCAGCTGAATAATTGACCCCTGAGTAATCAGGACGCAGTTTAAAACATGGAAACAAACTGGTTTCATAATTATGTGAAATAGAATTATTTAATAGGTTCTTTCCTACTCTCAGGTGAAAGCTGTTGTCTTGGACCCAAGTAATGGCTTTAACATGGATAGACCCCTCATGAAAAGTGATGTACAGAAACTCGTTAAGGTGATTATACAACAATTCTCAAATTTTAAATTATTTATCTGCAATTCTGAAATACAATATTTGTATGAGCCATTATTGCCTTGAGTGTCATGATACAAAACCCTACCAGCTAGTGGTGCAGGCAAATGTGAGATTTATTGTTTCTCATGAAGTCTAGAGATACATTGTTTTTCTTGGCTTCCTGGGTCACCTTCTTTCATCTCATGGTTACAAGATAGCTACTCCATCTCTCCGCAGGTATGAGGGGAAAGAACAAAAGGCAAAATGTGTGTGCCAATTGGGTCTGTCACTTTCTATTCAGAAAGTAATAGCTTTCTCAGAATTTTTCTCATCTGCTTACATTTATTGACCAGAATGATACCACAAGCGAGCCTGGGGCACTGATTTCTTTTTCTTTTTTCAGCTGAACAAATCTTTTCCCCAGTCCAGATTGGGGCTTTTAGTAAGGAAGGACGAGGTATGGATCCTGGCAGGTGACAATGTCTCCCACAGTAGTTTAGAGACATCTTGTTATGAATCTCGTGTTACATTGAGAACATTAACTGACTTGTCATATACTATAAAATTACATAGCACTAAATTAAGATTCAGATAATTATTGATTCAATGTCATTTGTGTTTTTCAATTCTAAGGGAAACATTGAAACCACAGCAAATAATTCATAGTTAGAAATCAAGGATATGTGCCTGAAAACCAGTTTTAAGAACCAAAGAAGGCAGGAATTTTATTTTTATTTTTAACTTTTAAAAGATTTTATTTATTCAGGAGAGACAGAGAGAGGCAGAGGGAGAAGCAGGCTCCCTGTGGAGCATGGAGCCTGATGTGGGACTCAATTCCAGGACTCCGGGATCACGACCCAAGCCAAAGGCAGATGCTCAACCGACTGAGCCACTCAGGCGGCCCAGAAGGCAGGAATTTTAGACATCACTAGTTTTTTCACATTTTTTTTTTGAAGATTTTATTTATTTATTTGAGAGAGAGCATGAGGAGGGGGAAGGGCAGAGGGACAGTGCCCAATACGGGACTCGATTCCAGGACCCTGGGATCAGGACCTGAGCCGAAGTCAGGTGCTTAACTGACTGAACCACACAGGCGCCCCATTTTTTCACATGTTTTGAGTTTGACTCACTGGATATAGGTGCTTACATATTTATTTTCTAAATATTCCTAGATGTATTTCTTAAAAATTCAACATTATTTTTTTTTCTCCCCGGCTTAATGATTTTAATTCCTTCCTTCACACAAAGGACTTGCAGCAAGCTTTCCCAGGCTTGTATATGGGTATCCTCTGGGCTCAAACAAATGGCAGAGAAAATTTTCATCATCCCCATCTTCTCTCACATCCAGCAATTCATATAGTGGAGCACAGGTCTATATTGCAGATGCCAGAGGGATCAGGAAGAGCTTTGGAAACCTGGAGCTGGGGAATCTGTTATTAGGATGCTTCTGCAGTAGAAGTGCCGTGATTCTCCAGGGCAGCCTAGAACTAGGTCTTTCTGTGCTGATTTTAAATGTGGTGGGAAACCTGTTCTTAGCAATAAGACTTTGCAAAATGACTCTGACGGTCAGTCAGAAATTTTACTGGAAAGCTCTGAAGGAGAATCAAGGAGAGGCAGAAAATAAATTTTTCTCTTTTTCAGGGCTCAAGAAGAGTTTTTCTTTTTTCCTCTAACTCAACTAAGTTGGAAAGAATTAAACTCAATATACTTTTAATATGACAGGTACCTAAATTATCAATGTACATCCTGCTTCATAGGACACAGGCTCTTTTCTTTTTTCTCAATTAAAAATCATGTGGATGAGGGGCATCTGGGTGGCTCAGTCGGTTAAGCATCTGCTTCGGCTCAGGTCATGGCCCCAAAGTCCTAGGATCGAGTCCTGCATCGGGCTCCCTGATCAGTGGGGAGTCTGCTTCTCCCTCTGCCTCTGCCTCTCCCCCCAGCTTGTGCTCTCTCTCTCGCTCATTCTCTCTCTCAAATAAATAAATAAAATCTTTAAAAAAAAATCATGTAGATGAGCTCATTTTTGTATTTGTAAAGTCTGTGTTGAGAACAATACTCTTACACCTGGACAGATGCAGGTGCGCAGGCTGCATCCATAAGGGCACAGCGGCCAGGCCTCACTCTTGCATTCCATCCCCCCCCACATTGTGGAAGAGCAGGGTTGGTGCTCAGGGAGGGGCATGGAGGCTGTTGGTGCTGATGTGCCTGCCAGCTGTAGATATAAAGCCTAAGGGGTGAGACAGGGAAGAGAGGGGAGGAGAGGAGAGAAAAGAAAAATTCAGGTTGTTCATCTAATCTAAAGGGACAAGGCAGAGAAGTGGAATGAGCCATCTATGTGGGAGGAAAGTGGGAGAAAAAGACCAGAGGAAGACATTCTGAAATAGAAGGCAAAGCTAGAGAAATGTTGTGAGCAGAGGAACAGCTTTTCATAAAATGCAAGTAACCCCCCAAATCAGCAAAGAAGTGTTGTTCAAGGTTCAAATAAATCGTAATGAGGAGCTCTAGGTGAGCTCTGGACAGGAGCGTAACCTTCATGGAGCACTTACCCACATTCAGACTGCATAGACTAGCCAAGGTGTCAAGTTTCTTGCCTTCAGCTGGGCTGTTAGCCCCCTGAGTATGGTGATACTATTGATCTCAGGGAAATAACTTATTACTTCCTGTTGTCGTTGGGTAAACTATGAAGCATGAAGTCCTCAAGGAGCAAAATAATAATAGAAGAGGTTATTGGTGGATAAACATCAGAAACCATTGCTTAGATGATTCTCTTAATTTTTTTGAAAATACCTTTAAAAAATGCTTCTGAGTATTCCAGAAAATATAACTAGAAACATTCATGGGTATTCTTTTCTAGCTTTGTGTGTCTCGGCTGTTGGATAGTAAAAATCCATCCCTGGACACCATTAAGATGCAAGTCTACTTTGATATGAATTATACAAGTCGAGGTAACATATATGTACTTTTTTGATACCCTTTTTGAAAGATTCCTATTGTATTTCAGGTAATAAGGGCTTTATTTGGTTGACAATGAACAATCTATCGTGTTTTAAATGTTTTCTCACTAATAATACACAATAATTAGAAATTAAAACAACCAGCCCACTGAGTTAAAAGTTTCTAACTTGCTGATTTTTTTGGTTTGTTTTTGGTTTATATTATTATCTTATAATGCTTACCTAAATTAGATAACTATACCAAAATGAAATGAATGATGGGAAATTTAAGTTCAGGACATATTTCCTTAGGTAAATAGTTTAATATATACATCAAAGACACACTGGCAACAAGAGGAAAAGGAAAATAAATTCTCTAAAGACTAGACTGCCTTTGCCGCACTGTAATGGAATCATTACTAACCATTTGGTGATTTTTGTTGTCTTTTTTTCCCTCTATGTATTGAACTTTCGCTTATGCTCCATGTATACATTATGTATCTTGCTTTTTTGCATAATGCTAATGAGATGTTAAAGTGATAAGTAATCATGGAATTGATGAAACTGTTTTTTAGATTTTTTTTTTAATTTTTTTTTTTTAAGATTTTTTGTTTATTTATTTGACAAAGAGAGATACACAGCGAGAGAGGGAACACAAGCAGGGGGAGTGGGAGAGGGAGAAGCAGGCTTCCCTCTGAGCAGGGAGCCCGATGTGGGGCTCGATCCCAAGACCCTGGGATCATGACCTGAGCCGAAGGCAGACGCTTAACAACTGAGTCACCCAGGCACCACCTGTTTTTTAGATTTTTAAAGTTTGCATAAAGTTCTCAGTAGCTTTTGTGGTAAGAGTATAGGTGTGAATGGGGCATGGTTGATACGTGAATTATTGCGCTTGAAATAGTAAAATGGGGTGTCTTACTGAGCTAGTTGCAAGAATTGTACTGCTGGTGGATTGTGACTGCCACAATTAAGCCCAGACCTCTTTGTGTCACGGGAAGAGGGGAAAGGGAAACAGTTCTCGATGCAACATCATACTATCAATAATGCTATTCAAAGGAAATTTATCTAGAACTAAAATAAAAATACACATAATTGAACAGGAAGATTTACACTACATACATGTGTATTTCTACTGCATGTGCTTGCATGTAACATGCCACCTGTGCTTACATGGGATGTTATGTGTAAATGTATGTATAGTATGTATATTTTTACTGTATATGTTTATAATATATATATATTATAAGTTGCCCTCTATACTTTCTGCTTAATTAGGAGGTTTTAACCCTTTTGGATATTACTCTTTGGATTGTCTGTTGAAAGTCTTAGGTATTTTGACAAAGTATGCCATTTAAAGCACTGCAGTAAATCTTTCCTACTAGATTTTTGCCTTGAGGTTACATGCTGGCCACTGTGTGTTTTTTATTTTGATTAGTACACCTTAAGAAAATGCTCGTTTTTGTGCAATAGAATTGCCATACCCAAGCCATTTTTTTCTCTGGTCATACTTTCTTATGTGAGGATTCTAAATCAAATATATGGAATATTGTCCTTTGCCAATTTTAGAGGAATTTCTTGAAGAACATCACCGAGTCTTGGAGTCTAGGTTAGGCTCCATTATGAGAGAAATCACGGATAACAGAGCATGTGCTAGAGAAGAACTGGAAAGCCTCTACCGTAAGATTGTCAGCTACATCTTACTGCGCTCTGGGCTGGGATCTCCTACCGATATCAAGATTGTCAGAGAGGCAACAGGTAAAAAAAACCTATATAATTTCCATTCCACATGTGAAAAGATGTGAACATTTGTATCTTATAAAAGAGGTTAAATTCAAAGTATTGAAGACCGAGGTTCCCTTTTTATCTGAAAGAAAAAAAAAATCAGCATAAATAAGAGCTTAAAACTTAGCCAGACTCCTTTTACACTGTGTATCAGCTCTAAAACCCAAGCAGCAGCTCTGGAAGGTGTGTGTTGTTAATTTTCTTAAAGCTGTACCTATCCAGGGACCCATCACTGCTTATGAGAGAAACACCGGCAGTGTGATTAAGAGTACCAGGCCGGCTGGGGGATGGGGACCGCCGGAAAGGGAGATTTCATAGTCAGGAAAGGAGTTGCGTCTGTCATCTAAAACAGATGATGGAAAAGCACACTGTTTTATCCTCAGGAAGTCTTTGCCCACTTTATTAATTTAAGGTAAGGAATAGGCAAAATTTCTAGCCTTTAATGGCTTTCCTCCACAATTATTATTATTATTTTTTTAAAGATTTTATTTATTTATTTATTTGAGAGAGAGAGAGAGAAACAGCATGAGAGGGGAGAGGATCAGAGGGAGAAGCAGGCTCCTTGCTGAGCCGGGAGCCCGATGTGGGACTCGATCCCAGGACTACGGCACCACGACCTGAGCCGAAGGCAGTCGCTTAACCAACTGAGCCACCCAGGCGCCCTCCTCCACAATTATTTTAAAACAGCAATTTTTCTACTCAGAATCCTAATTAGAAAGCTTGTTTTAATGCCCATTGTCAAAACATTACTGACGGTGCTTAATTACAGAAAAGAGACACAAAGCAATGGCATTATTTTCAGTAGCCCAGCTTTGATATGTGATAAATTTTGCAATGTATTCTGTAACTAGGTATCAGAAATTTAAAGAATCATATAAGAAGCTCTATCAAGACAGGCCCCTAAACTTTGTGCTGAAAGAAACCTGTGATTTAGGTTCTGATATCTGTATTCTACCATTTTGTTGTCCTTTTTGTGGTTTGTTTTAGCTGCCCTGCAGAGTATTTTTCCTCAGGCTGAGCTTGGGACATTTCTAACACTTTCTAAGAAGGACAAAGAACGCCAACTGAAAGAACTCACCATGATTGTTACTGGGATTCGCTTATTTAACCGAGACTGTGGAAAGGGAGGAGAAGGCATTGATGACTGTAGGTATATCATTAGGTGAAGTCTGCAGGTTATGGAAGTTCAAAATCTAACTCACACAGTGAGGAAAATAATGCACAGTATTTCACCGGCATTCTTAGATTTAAGGTATGCTGGGTCTTTAAATTAAATTAAATTAAATTTTTTTTTTTTTTAGAGAGGGAGAGAGAGTGCATGTGAGCGGGGGGAGGGGGGCAATGGGAGAGGGAGAGAATCCTAAGCAGGTTCCACACTCAGCACAGAGCGCAATGTGGGGTTCAACCTCATGACCCTGAGATCATGACCTGAACTGAGGTCAAGAGTTGGACACTTCACTGACTGAGCCACCCAGGTGCCCCTAAGGTATGCAGTTTTGACTCTACCTTAGGTACAGTTACTGTTCATAATTGATAGTAATTTTTAATTTTGCTGGGGCAAGACTTGCAGCATTATAGTACACGAAGCTAGTGTGGGAGAGTGAATCAGTGGAAGGAATGAGGGGTCTGCCTGAAGGCCAGCCTCTCCAGTTCGTTGGGCTCTGTGTTCTTTATTCCAAGTCAGATAACCAAAAGGGAGTAAAACTCAGTGATCTAAAAATAAAAATCACCCTGAGAAGAGAAGAGTGGTTGATGCAACCAATGGAATGGAGAGGTCCAAGAGGAGATACTTGCAAATCTGCAAATCCAGGAGCATTTACTGTGCTGTTCTGTACTTAATGCATTCATCATCTCTGAGTTTGAAAGCACTCATGAAATATTTGATCAGGGGCTCAGGAGAAGGGACTTCCTTATGTAGGCCCACTGATAAGGTGTTAGCGTCTGTTACTAGATCACTTATCTAGTATAATAGGGTCAGTTTTTAAAATAGAAAAACTAGAAAGTTTTTAGAAAGTTCTAGAAAGTCAAATTCCCATTCTTTATAAAATTTCCTATCTTGCTAGACTATTCTGTTATTTTTCAGTATCCTCATCGGTTCCTTTTTTTTCACAAAATATGCCTTTTCTAGAGGCCCATGGCCAGTAGCACATAATACCAAAGCCTATCTATTCTTTCTTTCTTTTTTTTTTTTTTAAGATTTTATTTATTCATTTGAGACACAGAGATACACAGAGAGAGAGAGAGCGCATGAGCAGGGAGAGAGCCCGAAGGAGAGGGAGAAGCAGGCTCCCCGCTGAGCAGGGAGCCCGATGCGGGACTCGATCCCAGGACCCTGGGATCATGACCCGAGCCGAAGGCAGATGCTTAACCATCTGAGCCACCCAGGCACTCTATTCTTTAGATTCTTCTATATTTTAGTGGCAAAAACTGACCTGCTACCTTTTGGTTATCATTCTGACAGTATCTTTTGTTCGGACAGGTGTTCCCCTCCCCCCATTCTTTCCTTCATGGTGTGAGAAGAAACACATGACATATGTTACATCTTGTTATTATTCATTTGGTTGAGAAAAAGATGAACTCAATGTAATGCTCGAGTTATTACTTTCTAGGCTTTTCGTAGATTCTTTCATGTCTCTCGATATCCTTTTAAAACCAGTGCCAGCCATTCTGCATGAAGCAATCCCAGCCACCACGCAGCACATTGATTCCCAACTTCAGACTGCCCAGGAGCAGGCCTACCGCTACACGGCCGTCCTTGAGAAGGCAGCCAACAACCCGCTCCTGCGTACAGAGCTTCAGCCGTGTATGTTAAAAGAAGCACTGTATAATGTGCGGCAGTATGAGGTCTTCCTTCAGATCATTTTGGTGAGCGAATGTCATAAGATTTGGCTTTTTTTGTTATGTGGCAACCACTTTACATGTTACGGGGCTCCACAAAAGGCAGAATCAGGTCATTGCTAAAGGAGGCAAACTTCATAACTGCCCAGTTTATATTGCATCTGTGGGGCTGGGAACAGAAATAGAAATAGGGAAGTTGGATTTTTATTTTAATGGAAAATATTGATAGGAATTGATTTCTAGTTGTTGATTCCCTTTGGTGCCCAGCAAAATGATCGTTAGCATGCTGTGGTCAAGCAGTGGTGTGTATGTGTGTGTGAGTAACACTGTATTGTTTTCACACTGAGCAAGTATCTAATGTATTTTTGGGCAGATAGTTAGCACCTAAATAATTTTTATGTAATTATTTGTTGTTGTAAAAGTTGGTTGAAAAGATTTTTATTGCTAATAGTTTTCAATTTAATGGACAAGCTAAACAGTATCCCCAAATAGTTGGAAAAATTGGTAAAGTAGTGATTTTAAACTTTTTTTAGAAGTGGCAGAGCACTTACTTTCAGATGGAAACTCACTCAGAATCCCAAAAATACAAAACAGGTATCTAGATGAAAGGATTGAAGGACCTTTTCACAAAGGAACATCCCCATTCCACCCTAGGGTTCTAGGGCACACAGTTTGTTAACTACATCTTGGCAGCAAGCTGTGTTCCTACCAGTCAATGTTTTTTTTGTATTGTTTTGTTTTGGGGGTTTTTTTAGCTTTACTGAGGTACAATTGACAACACTGTAAGATATTCAAAGTGTACAATGTGAGGATTTGATGTATATCTACATTGTGAAAGCAACTTCTCTCATCAAGTTAAATAACACATTCATTTAACTTTTTACTATTTACACTATTTACCTTTACACAACCTCTACCTTCCAGTAACTGTGAGACTCAGGGTCAGTGGACCGTCTTTTATATGAGTGAATACTAATGTCTTGAAGGATGGAGCAGGATGTGTTTTTAACTTGTATCTTAATTAATGACTTGTTACTACTTCTGGGTGCACTTGATCTGTCTTCTTATCTTCACTGTAAAGAATAGGAAGATAAAAATCCAGATGACATGACTTCATTGCAACAACCTAGGAGGTGGTCCTCACAACTGTCCTACTATGTAATTGCCCTCAGAAATGAGGACTCTAGATCAGCTGTTCTAAACCAAATCATCCTTTTGGGTAGATGTTCCTCTAACACTGAGTTGTGGCCATCAGCCTTGTATAACTAGTCAGATACTAAGAGGATTTTACAATCAATTTATCTTAAAGTGCATGCAGGTCCACAGGAGTAAGAGTCTCACATTCACTTTGTCATCTGTGTTGGGAAGGGATATCAGAAGAAGGAACCTTTGGAGACGGTCACTCATAACGTAAGGATGTTGTAGAGAATGTCGTTCATTATATCACATCTTCTCAGGGCTTTCACCCATGGAGCATATTCAGCTAACTTCCAGTCTGAGAGTCTCATTGGAGTTCTCATTCTCAGCTAGAAGGACAGTAAGTTGAGGGTATCAGTGATGAGCGTGGGCTCTGCAACCAGAACGCATGGGTACTCATCCTGACTTTGCCACTTACTAAATCTGTGTCCTTGAGGAAATAGCGTAACTTCTCTGTGTGTAAGCTTGTACTTAGGGATCAAGATTTAATAAAATTAATACTTTTACTGCATCATCAAAGATATTCTTAAGTGAAACTGACTTTTTTATTGAGATATCATTGACACATAACATTATATTGGTTTCACTTATACAATGTATTGATTAAGTATATGTGTATATTGCAAAATCATCCTTCACTATACAGTTACAAAATTTTATGTGTGTGATGAGAACTTTTAAGATTTACTCTTTTAGCAACTTTGAAATATACGATGCAGTATTTTTAACTATAGTCACCATGCTGTTACATTATATCCCCAGGATTTATCTTATAACTGGAAGTTTTTACCTTTTGACCCCTGTCGCCCATTTCACCCCCACCCCCACCTCATGCCCATGGCAACTACCAGTCTGTTCTCTGTATTTATGAGATTGGGTTTTTTTTCTTATTTTTAGTTTTTTTAGATCCCACATATAAGTAAGATCATATAATATTTGTCTTTCTCTGACATATTTCACTTAGCACAACACCCTCAAGGTCTATCCATGTTGTCACAAGTGGCAGGGTTTCCTTCTTTTTTTATGGCCGAATAATATTAATTGTGTATATATGCCATATTTTCTTTTTTTTTTCAAGATTTTATTTATTTATTTGACAGAGGGAGGGAGGAAGAGAGAGAGAGAGCACAAGCAGGGGGAGTGGCAGGCAGAGGGAGAAGCAGGCCTCCCGCTGAGTGGGGAGCCCGATGTGGGGCTTGATCCCAGGACCCTGGGATCATGACCTGAGCCGAAGGCAGACGCGTAACCGATTGAGCCACCCAGGGGTCCGTATGCCATATTTTCTTTATCTGTTCATCCATCAGTGGTCACTTAAGTTGCTTCCTTGTCTTGGCTGTTGTACATAATGCTGCAAAGAAGATGGGGGTGCATTTATCTTTTCTGGTTACTGTTTTTATGTCCTTTGGATATATACCCAGAAGTGGAATTGCTAGATCATATGATAGTTCTATTTTTAATTTTTTGAGGAATCTTCATACTGTTTTTCATAGTGGCTGCACCAATTTACTTTTCCCACCAACAGTGCGTGAGGGTTTACTTTTCTCCCCATTTTTGCCAACATTTGTTCTCTCTTGTCTTCTTGATACTAACAGGTGTAAAGTGGTATCTCATTGTGGTTTTAATTTGCCTTTCCCTAATAGTAAGTGACGTCGAGCACTTTTTTGTGTACCTGTTGGCTATTTGTATGTCTTCTTTGGAAAAATGTTATTCAGATCTTTTGTCCATTTGTTAATTGGATTGTTTGGGTTTCTTGTTTGTTTTTGTTTTTTTGGGTTTTTTTTTTTTTTTTTTTTTGCTATTTATTTGTATGAGTTCTTTGTATATTTTGGATATTAACCTCTTATCAGATATATGATTTGCATATATTTTCCCCCATTCAGCAGGTTGCCTTATCATTTTGTTGATGGCTTTCTTTGCCATAGACCTTTTTCGTTTGATTATAGACCCACTTGTTTATTTTTGCTCCTGTTGCCTTTGTTTTTGGTGTCAAATCCAAAAAACCATCACCAAGCCTGATATCAAGAAGCTTACTGCCCTATGTTTCTTCTAGAAATTCATGGTTTTGGGTTTTACTTTCAAGTCCTTAATCCAGTATGAGTTGATTTTCTGTATGGCTTAAGGTAGGGCTTTAGTTTCCTTCTTTTGCATGTTGCTGTCCAGTTTTGCCAATATTATTTATTCGAGAGACTGTCCTTTCCCCCATTGTACATTCTTGCTTTCTTTGCCATAAATTAGTTGAACATGTATGATGGATTTATTTCTGGGTTCTCCGTTCTGTTCTCTTGATCTGTGTGTCTGTTTTTATGCCACTGTCACACTGTTGTGATTATTACAGCTTTGTAATATAGTTTGAAATTAGGAAGCATGATGCCTCCAGCTTTGTTCTTCTTTCTCAAGATTACTTGGCTACTTGGGGGTCTTTTATGGCTCCATACAAATTTTAGGATTGTTATTCTATTTCTTGGAAAAATACCATTGGAATTTTGACAGGGATTTCACTGAATCTTTGTATTGATTTGGGTAGTATGGACATTTTAACAATATTAATTCTTCTACTTCATGAACACAGAATATCTATTTATTTGTGAGGACCAACTTTACAACTAAAACTTCCACCTAGTTGTGAACGAGTTCTTTTAGATAAATGTAAACAGAGTGATTGTTTTAGGTCATTACCAGGAAAAATCAAAAAAAGTTCTGTGTGCCTCCTCTGTGAGTCCCTGAAAACATAGTTCCAGGGAGAAAGTCTAGAGTATCTTCAGTTATAGGCTTAAAGAAGTTATGTGTTGAATGTAAATTTTACTTTGAAGAGCATATGCAGGTTTATTTCTATTTCTTGTTGCTGTTGCACAAATCTAAAGAGACTTTAAGGATGCCATTTTCATATTTGATTTCTAAAATAAAACTAACAAAGAAGGGGGAAAACTCTATGGGGTAGATGAGAGACTTATTAGATGGGATAGGCAGAATTACATGGAGCATGAAGCAAGGGGAAGGGAGATGCTTAAAGAATAGTATGGGTACATTTAAAACAGGATGCATGTTACATTTGTGAATAAAAAATTTCGTTAGTTGAAATACAGTAAAATTTGGTATTTTTATGAAGTAATTATTTGTCATTTAAAAATAGTCTAGTAAAGCATGTGGTTTGACTACAAGTATCTGAAGACTCAGATGCATTTTTTTTCTCTTCAAGTAACTGTCACTCTTTTGCACTGTACTGATAAGCCCAAACCACTGCCATTTCCGGTCGCATCTCAGGCAGTACAGTATAATGGGTAAGAGCTGGGCTCTCGCTTCCAGCGGTCTGGGACGGAACCATGATTCCACCCTTTATTAAACTGTGTCCTTGGGCAATTTTTTCACCTTTCAATATCTTGGTTTTCCTATTTATACTCTACCCTTTTTTTACACTTAGAAGTATTTAATATGATGCTTATTAACACCTTATTTTCAGATTACTAGTGTCATATCAGAAATACATTGTTTTTCTTTCAGTGATGTGCTTCTTAAGATTTTTCTGCATTCTTGGATGTAATTTGTAAAAATCCTGCTATCAGAATAGTTTTCAGAGGAACACCTCATTAATTTTATTATGGAGAAGTGGGGAAATAACAGCTGAACAAAGCTGGGTCAGAGGATTCACTTCTCAGGAATGCAATTATACGGCATATGGAAGAATACCTTGAGAAAAAGAATTCCTTTGGGAAAAATTATAGCCACTGTATTTCAAAAGGTTCATCCATTCAACAAATATTTCTGGAGCACCCTCCATATGCTAATACTGTTCTTGGTTTGGGGATACCAGGAACAAGAGAATTTCTGCTCTCATTGTGCTTACCTTCAGGGGATATAGGGAGCGGGTAGGGCTTAAAACACACGATTTTTATAGTGAAATTATAAAAATATTAATGTAAATTATATTGTCTTCACAGTCAGATATAATTACCTGTGCTCAAGAAGTAGAAATGATGATAAAGCAGTTAGGAGCCCAACTGGAACAATTAAAAATGATTGTAAAATCAAAGACAGCTGTCCCAACGTCACAAGTCTTTGTAAGTATTTGCTATCAACTTTGACCTTGCTTAAGGGTGAATATACCTTTGAGTCCTACACAACTGAATCAGAAGTAATTGTAATTATATTTAATTACTAAAAATAGAATATTTGTTCTAAACAAGTTGATCCTGTTCTTTACAGTTATTTTGTAGTAGTAGTGTAAGTCAGATGAAGGAATCGCCCTTGCAGGCCATTGCTACTAAAGGAGATGCAGATCTATATTATGGTAGCCATAATTTCAGTAAAGATTGTGGCAGCAGAATGAATCCATAAGGCAACATTGAAAACATGTTCACAGGGGCTGGTTAAAAATTGCCTTCAGCAAAGAGGTGGTGTAACTTGTGACCTCTATGAAGAGGCAGAGGATAATCACCGTGTTTACCGGGCCTATATGTATACTGACTTTCTGATTATCTGCACCACCTTATGGGCAAATCTGGTAGCCCTAAGGAGGTATAAGATGCACATGCAGTATTTTATAGAGCATTTTGAGGCTCTGAGAATTTTCTGTAACCATTCCTAATATTCGGTTTTAAAAACCAAGAAACAAAAGGCTAAGCTGTTTCACTTATTAGTGGGGCCTGATTAATTTTTTTAATGTTTGTTCTGTAAGTCAGTGACCTTTAATATGAATAAAAAACTTTATCTCACTGACCTAAAATCTTTAACTTGCTGCTCACAAGATATGCCCTAAGATGTATCTCTAGATTTTCCAGGTTCTTTTGAATCATGATTGAGCCAGATAAATCTAAGAGTAATGAGTCATATTTAGCTTTTTTTAAAAAGGAAGCTATTTCCCCTTGACCTTTTGAGGTCAAGCATCCATAAGTGTTTGGCTTTTTTGGGTAAATTAACTTTATGACAATCACTCCCAGATAAAATGCTTTGGAATAAAATACAAGTTTTTTTCTCATAACTTATGAGTCCAGTTACTATGTAGATTTTACTGTTTAACCTCAGGAGACTTTGACTTGTCTTCTGGAAGAATTAATTTCTTTACAAATACAAATTTGTTAAGAGTACAGTGATTTATAATTTTATTAGACAGTTGTATTTTGAACATTGCTTTCTCTTCCTCAGCCCATCTTCATCGCACTTTCCAACCTGTGGACTAGCTTCCAGGATGAAACTGTTTTGATTAGTGTCCTCAGTAATTTAACAACTCATCTTGAACCATTCCTGGGTGCTCATGAGCTACTCTTTCCTGAGAAAGTCATACAGAATCTTCTTGATGGGCTGACTGTGAAAACTGATGTGTGTAGGGTGAAGGAACACCTGGGTAATAGAAATCATCTTTGACTTCCTCTTCCTCTTCAAATTGCCTCTAGAATAAAGTCACTCTTTTCTTTTAAAATTTTCATGCTTGGGGCACTTGGCAGCCTCAGTCCAAGGAGCATGGGTCCCTGAATCTCAGGGTCATGAGTTCAAGCCTCACATTGGGTGTAGAGTTTACTTAAAAAAAAAAAAAAAAGGTAAAATTTTTATGCACTATCTTCCTGATAAGGTATTAAGCATCTTTCTTGATTCAAAGAGTACTAATGTTTGTCATAGAAAATGCAGAAAACAGAAAATATATCCACTGAGTACCTTACTATCCCGCAATGAACATTCTTAATGTTATTGTCAGTGTTTTAGTTGACAATGATGTTCCTTTCCTATGTGTTTCTATTGTAGTCTTAATGATTTTATTATTGACTGATTCATAGTAGAAAAGGATATTAATCATTGCCATATTTGTTGCAAGTAAAGCTCTATTTCTTTGGAATGCTGTTTGCCCTATATCTTCCTCAGAGTCAGGCTGAAATTTATAAATCAATGCATTTTATCCCTGTAAATTTGAGCTTATTTTAGACCCTTTAAGAGACACATTGATTCTTATGGAAAGGCTGTCTTTATCAACAGACTGCTTTTTACTTTTTTGGTGTCTTCTGTCTTAGTTACAGACAACTTGAAGTTAATGAGAAATGCCAAAATAGAGTCTAGGAGTTGTTGCCTAAAAAGGTTTTTCCAGAAAATGAAATTAGATAATTTACTCTCTAAATGTCCTTTTCAAATTCTAATTTTGTAAAAGTAGAAAATAAAAATGAAGTGCTGTTTCCATTCTTAAACTATTAGAATAAAAAAAACCCTGAAAACTAAATTAGAGAGACTCAAAGGCATCCTTCCAGTTCAAGTTTTTCGTACTCCTTTTATTTTATTACAACAGAGTATATACACAGATACTACGTGAAACTGAAAAGTTAAAGTCACTTCAACAGTAGATACTAAACTCAACCATGTTGGCAAAACAATTTACTTCTTAAGAGTTAACATGTCGTTTCCCTCCATATGCCACAACTTTATATTCAAATAGGACACTATCCCGTTACTGATCCCAGTGAATTGGGAGACCTAATACTCTTCTAAAAGAATTTAATTAACACTTGCCACATCTCATCACTGTTTTGAGGCTTTCAGGCATATCAGGAAAAAAGAAGGAAGGTTTATTTTTCCCAACATTTGCATTTACTTCTAGCTGTGGCCACAAGGGCATCTGTGGTATCTGCTGTTTTGATACAGAGCCCTGCCCAGAAGCTTAGTATAAGGATTGCAAAAGCTAAGACCCTTGGGGATTGATGTTTTATAAATACGTGTTTTTGTTTGGAGAAGAAAATTTAGACAATGTGTTTATCACATGTAAATAAGTAAACCAACCACGATTAGGAAGAATTTTTAAAGTGTAAAGAACAAAAATTGTACACCTTGTTAACAAAAGTAAGTTACTGAGAGATATTTTCTTGAATCTTTCTGCTCAGAACATTCTCTGCTGTTTCAAGAAGCAATAGTCCTAGTGTATGAGCATCACATTCAAAGTATTTGGCCGCCTAGTATATTACGAAGAGCCCTACTGTCTTGAATGAAGCTGATCTATCTCTGTTTTAGTCACATAGCAGCCAGTCTTTTCTGCTCCTTTCCTTGGGTTGTTTACTCTTCTCACTGATTAAAGTTTTTCTTGTCCTCCTCTTTCATTTTAGAAGATAGAGTACATCTGGTGGATTTCAGAAAACAAGAGTGGCTTTTCCCAGAAACAACAGCAAATTTTGATAAATTGTTAATTCAGTATCGAGGATTTTGTGCTTACACATTTGCTACAACAGATGGTCTTCTCCTTCCAGGTATATTGTTGGGAACAACCTTACTTGGACTTCCCCATTTTTTCTTTGAATAAAGTGCTATTGTTGTCACTTATTCACTTTATTTTTTAACTTATTCATTTTTTAAAATTTTATGGGATCTGATGATGAACTAGGAAAGGAGCCACAAAGATGATCCAGACCATCTTCATCTTTGAAGTACTCACAGAATAATCTGGTAGACTGACATAACCAAGAAATTATGCTACAAATGATAAGTGATGGAATGTGTATATAATGAAATATGGATGCCACAGTATCATAAAAAGATGGATGACTCATATGTCCAATGAAGGATTCTAGAAATTCACATGACATTACTAAAATATATCATCTTCCAAAGTAATGACTTGAAAGAGCAACACTAATTTGGCTGGTTATGTTTATTAAACAATATGCTGTCACTTTATGGTTATAGTCCATTAACATGAGTCAGGATTTCTGGATAAGTCAGATCTAAGGAAATGGCCAGTATTTTATCAAGTAAAATCTCTCTATGATGTATATATTACGAGAGCTTCCCCAAAATAAGAGTAAACCAGAAATTATTATCCAAAAGTGCCCTATGAATTGGAAATAAAAAGTCAGCTAGGGCTAGAATGAAAAGAGTTTGACAAAATTATTTATTTATTTATTTATTTGAGAGAGAGAGAGAGAGAAAACACGAGCAGGGGGAGGGGCAGAGGGAGAAGCAGACTCCCTGCTGAGCAGGGAGCCCGATGTGGGACTGCGTCCCAGGACCCTGGGATCATGACCCGAGCCAAAGACAGATGCTTAACCGACTGAGCCAGCCAGGCATCCCTGACAAAATTATTTCTAATTTACCTTACACCATTAACCTCTTACTTTTCTTTGTTCTTTGTTATTTCTTTTGTTATATTTCATAGTTGGGTATTACTTTTTTATTAGAAAGAAGGTGATGGTGTCACTGACTTCCTTGCCAACCGATCTCCCTTGGTCACTACTCCAGGCTCACTGGCCTTCTTTCTATTCTTGAGCATTCCAAACATATTTTCACCTCAGAGCCTTTGCCTTGCTATTCCCTCTACTTGGAAAACTCTATCCCACATAAAGCTACATACCTTGCTCCTTCATTTTGTTCAAACTTCCTAGATCACCCAATTTAAAATATCAACCTCACTCTCTTCCTTTTACTATGTGTTTAGCTGGCTTTATGTTTTCTGCAGTACTCTCTGGCCTATGGAATATTTGTTGATTTACTGAGAGCAGGAAATTTGTTTTCTTTTATATCCTTAGTGCCAGGAATAAGGCCAATAAGTTTTGTTGAACAAGTGAAAAAATAAGTAAGACAGTATTACTGTTTCTCACCAACTATGTGGATATTTAATAATCCATATTTTATGTAGTATCTATTCACAGTGGGAAATACTTTCTAACATAGAAACTTGTATTGGGGGTGCCTGGCTGGCTCGATTGGTGGAACATGTGACTCTCGATCTTGGGGTTTTGAGTTCAAGCCCCACGTTGGATATAGAGATTACTTAAAAATAAAAAAATCTTAAAAAAAAGAAGAAGAAACCTGTATTTTGGAAAAGATGTCCCATCTTTGTAGTTTTTATAGAATTATTTTTAAAAACAATACTTGTAGTAGTTAGTTTAGTTAAAGGAGATTTGAAAAAACCATCAGACGACTAAGTGATTCTCATAAAAGATTTTCAAACACCTTATATCTGGATAGTAAGTTTTTATATAAACCATACTTTAAAATTAATTTAATATGAATTTCATATAAAATATAATTTAATAAAATGTATAATTTAAAATTGCAAATTGTGGGACACCCGGGTGGCTCAGTCAGCTAAGCGTCTGCCTTCGGCTCAGGTCATGATCTCAGGGTTCTGAGATCGAGTCCTGCATTGGGCTCCCTGCTCTGCAGGGAGCCTGCTTCTCCCTCTGCCTCTGCCTCTCTCTTTCTCTCTCTCTCTCTCATGAATAAACAAATAAAATCTTTAAAAAGAAAATTGCAAATTGTACCATTTTAGCAAAATGAAAAATGTAAGTCATATGTTAAGTATGCAGTAGATAGGGGATGGTTTTATGGATGTATTACAAACATAGAATCACTTAATATTTCATGCCTAATTCATTTCCTTTTCTTAATTTTCAGGAAATCCAGCAATTGGGATTTTGAAATATAAAGAAAAGTATTACACTTTCAATACCAGAGATGCTGCATATTTATTTGCAGAAAATCCTGAAAATTATATTGATTTAATTAGAGAAAAGGCCAAAAAAAATACAGAATTAATTCAGCTCCTGGAGCTTCATCAACAGTTCGAAACCCTCATTCCATATTCTCAGGTAAGCAGAGTCAGTATTTTAAGAATTTATGACTTTTTAGAAAAAAAAGATTTTATTTATTTATTTGACAGAGACAGAGATAGCGAGAGCAGGAACACAAGCAGCAGGAGTGGGAAAGGGAGAGCAGGCTTCCTGCCGAGGAGGGAGCCTGATGCGGGGCTCGATCCCAGGACCCTGGGATCATGACCTGAGCCGAAGGCAGACGCTTAACAACTGAGCCACCCAGGCACCCAAGAATTTATGACTTTTAAAAGAATACTTAATTAAAAAGTCAGACTTTGTTGTAGAATGGTTCCTAAGTCCAGGCAGAGACAGGATCCGAAGAGGGCCTTTAATGCTCTCAGAAAGAGATTCACCCTTGAAGAGGGACACTAATGAAATCCATAAAGAATAATGAAAACAAACAAAGGAGTCAAGTTGATGAATTAGACTGGAAAACTCTGGAAGAGAAATACTACATTTAGATAAATAATTGAAACTATAGTATTTCCTTATCTAAAATTAAAGGAACTTAGCACAGATAACACAGGTGATAACTTAGAGCTGCAAGGTAACAGGTCTGTGTGTCTGTCTCGGCACTGGTACCATATTGCTTTCATTACTGTTGCTTTTTGGTATATTTTATTACCTGATAGGGCAAGCTCTTTCCTTTCCCTTTTCCTTTTTGAAAATTGTCTTAAATAGTCATGCATGAATCTTTATATATCCATGTAATTTTCTTAATAAATTTGCCAAGTTTCCCCCAAAATCTTCCTGAGATTTTAACTGGAATTGCATTAAAATAATCAAATGAAATAATCAAGTAATTGTTTATGTTTATTATATTGGGTTGTCCCATCCATAAGAAGTACCCTTTACTTAGCATTTTTAAAAAAATAATTAGCAGTTTTATTAATTATGTCTTAATAAAACATAATGGTTTTAGTTACATTTTTTACTCTGCCTACTTCTAAAACTGTAGGTGATCCTAGCAGTGACTGGTAATGATAATAATAATATATGGTTTTCAATATGATGACACTCAGTACGGATGACACCTCCATTGAATTAACAATTCTCCTACGGAATGGGTTTGTTTCTAGGCTCTCCCAGTTTTATATTTTTTATTCTTTTGTGGTGTCTTTTCACAAATAAAAGTTTTTCAATTTAATATGTAGTTTATTGTTCCTTTTTCTTTCATGTCTTCAACTTTTGTGTCTTGTTTAAGAAATCCTCAAGTATCTTAGATCATAAAAATATTCTCCTACATTGTTTTACAACAAATATGGATTTACCTTTCACACCCAAGTCTTTAATTGACTTGGATTTGATTTTTGTGTCTAGGGGGAGGTGAAGATCTAATTTTAACTTTTTTTTCTTTTGGGTAGTGAATTGTCCCAGACCACTTGTTCAGTGCTCTGTCCTTTCCCCGAATCTGCAGTGTCTTCTGTGCACAGGCTTAATTTTTAGGCTCTCTGTTCATCTTACTAGAGCCTTATAATAAGTTTTGATGCCTATAGACTAAGTTCTCCCATACTTGCCTCTCTAAAGACACTTGGCTATGCTTGACTCTTGACTTTCCATTATAAATTTGAGAATTACATTGTCAAGTTCCATAAAAAACCTTGAAGGCATTATGAATTTGCCTGTCTATAGACAAGAATGTTTTGGCCTTGCTGCCATTTATATATAACTTACGGAGTTGTAAGATACCTCAAAGACAGTGAAAGGCTAGAATCAGATCATCAGAAAGGTGTGCTATATGTAGATAATGCATAGTTTTCCAATAAAGAACAATTTCCCCCCATTTATTTGTTCTTGTTTTTCCCTTTCTGTATATTTAATTCCCAGTTCTTCTTCAGTGACCTTCATATTTCAAAGCTGTGGTCCTTATAATTATTTACTAGTCATTTACTTGAATTGTATAATATTGCTAATCATCTTGCAGCATGTTTTATCTATCCAACTATATCATAACATCGTTTTGAAGACAAAAATGATATGTTAAATGGTAGGGCAATCAGTGATTATCTATTGCTTGATTTGGAGTAAGAAGTTTTTTTTTTTTAAAGATCTTATTTTTTTTTAAAGATTTTATTTATGTATTTGAGAGAGTGAGAGAGAGAGCATGAGCAGGGTGAAAAGGCAGATGGGGAGGGAGAGGCAGACTTCCCGATGAGCAGGGAGCTGGATGCGGGGCTTGATCCCAGGACCCTGAGATCATGACCCGAGCTGAAGGCAGATGCTTAACCGACTAAGCCATCCAGGCGCCCCTTGGAGTAAGTTAATCTTGAATGGATAAAGGAGATGGGGCAATATATATATTATAGGAATATTACTCAGCCATAAAAAAAGAATGAAATCTTGCCATTTGCAACAAAATGGTTGGCTCAAGAGGGCATAATGCTAAGTGAAATAAGTCAGTCAGAGAAAGACAAATCCATATGATTTCATTCATGTGTGGAGTTTAAGAGACAAAAACAAATGGACAAAGAGAAAAAGGGACAGACTCTTAAATATAGAGAACAAACTGGTGGTAGTCAGAGGAGAGGTAGGTGTGGGGGGATGGGTGAAATAGGTGAGGGGATCAAGAGTACACTTACCGTGAGGAGCACTGAGTAATGTTTAGAATTGTTGAGTCACTGTATTGTACACCTGAAATTAATATAACCCTGTTAGTTATACTAGAATAAAAAAAAAAAAAGAAGCTAATCTTCTCTCCCTTCTCTTCACTATGATCTGAGTTCTTTAGACCTCTACCACCCCCTCCAGCAATTTCATATACCGTGTAATCATACCTTGTTTAGCCTGGAGTTAATATTTAATATTTTAATAGTGAGTTTGTGAGTGACACAGCAGAAAATCAAAATATCCAACTAAAACAAACCACCTTGGATTATATGCTGTGTATGCATAGTTTGGGTTTAAGATATATCCTAGGGGCTCCTGGCTGGCTTAGCTGGTAGAGCATGTGACTCTCTTCTCTGGGTCATGAGTTTGAGCCCCACATTGGGTATAGAGATTATAAATAAATAAACTTTAAAAATCACATCATCAACTATCATTAAAAAAAGATATATCCTGAAGATGTTTTGATACTTTAAACAAATGTGATTTATATTTAATATTTAATGGCTATTTTAAACTTTTAAACTTGAAAACAAAGTATTTGCTTATCCTACCAATGTGAGAGGGGCATTTGAATTAGGAATGAGTGATGTTAGGTTTTTCTCTTCCAATGTATGCCTCCCATATTAAGTTCACAAAGTCAGGTACAAAGAAAGCCATAATGCCCAGGAAAGTTATCTCATTTAGCTCACAACTACAAGCTTATTTTCTTTGCTGTCTTTATGAGTATATTCCACGTTCAAAAATTCTTGTTTTTCTAATCTTTTTGTTAGTTTAGCTAAATATTTTTAGTTATCCCTAAATAATGCTTAGTTTTTTAATAATTACTAATTACAAAACTTGATTTCTTTAGATGAAGGATGTTGACAAACATATAAAACCAATTACAAAGTCTGAAAGTAGCACACAGACGGATACGCACATATTGCCACCAACAATTGTGAGATCATATGAGTGGAATGAATGGGAATTAAGAAGAAAAGCTATAAAATTGGTTTGTAACAATATTTTCTAAAATTATTTATAGGTTGGGGATTTTTTTTTCTTTAGTTAAGACAGCAGAAGAGATGATTTATTGTATATATGTTACACTCAGCCATATACGAAAACAGAATTAGTCCCTCAAGTCACAGGTCCAGGGCATAGGACCAAAAGGGACAGTTTTGGTATGAGCAAGGTGGGTCTCTCAAAGGTGTTGTTGCGATCAGACGGCAATGGATGTTATAGATCCATTGAATCAAGTTCCAGAAAGTCGGCATGCAGTCCAAGAGTTTGTACCAGCGTCCCCGGCCTCTGGCTTTCCTTATGTCTGCTCCTCTGGCTTCCATGGGTGTACAACCTAGCTGTTTGCTTGAACCTCTGCCTCATCTTTTTCGCTTCAGCCTCCATATCGCTTCTTCCTCCACTTGGCTCACTTAGTGAGGGGGTTTCCAAGAAGACGGCACTAAGGCTGAGAGGTATAGGTTGGGGAACTTTATTTCTATTTATTTATTTTTTAAAAGATTTTATTATTTGACAGAGAGAGCACACAAGTAGGCAGAGCGGCAGGCAGAGGGAGAGGGAGAAGCAGGCTCTCGCTGAGCGGGGAGCCCAACACGGGCTTGATCCCAGGACCCTGGGATCTTGACCTGAGCCAAAGGCAGCCACTTAACCGACTGAGCCACCCAGGCGCCCCTAGGTTGGGGAACTTTAATGTATTGTTACTCATAGAGTTAGTAATTTAAATTACTTATATAAACTAATGAGTTGTATACAGAATTCTTTGCATATTAATTTGCCAGCTTTACCTTGTAAGATTGTCTTCTAATTTTAAGCATGTACAGAAGGATGAAACTATTCTCAAATTATACCATCCAGTAACTAGAACAATGGTAGTTGCTTGCTCTCTCTTTCTATATCCATCTATTGTGCTAATCTATGAGGTTCTAGTATTTAAAGCACTCTCAGCTTCCTCTAATCATTGAAAGTATACCCTTTTCTTTTTTGGATTTTTTTTTTTTTTTTTTTTTTTTTGAGGAGCAGAATATTACCTCTGTTATATCTCAGATAGTGTTCCCTCTTGTTGTCAACATCTTCTCTACAGGCACTGAGCTCTCTTGTCCTTCTGATTTTCAGTCACTTTAATCATAAGAGGTGCCTGCTCCTAAAGCATGGCTTGAAACTCTTATCCATGTCTGACTCAGCGGAATTCCTCCCACTCACTCTTTTTACAGTACCTCATCATTTTAAACAAGTATTTAGAGTATGAAGGAAACAAACTCTTTTATATCTGTAGCCTTTTCTTACTATATTTTGTCCATCTCTTCAACTGAAATCAGGTATGGAAATAAACAAAGGCTACCCAAATGGGAACAGAGGCTATTTATTCAAAGTTGGCTATAGCAAGGGAGTCAACCACCATCACTTGCAGTTGGCAGAAACTCCAAAGCAGGCAGGAGAAGTGGGAGAGCTTGATAGTGAAAAAAAGGGGAAGGTTTCGGGCGTTCTCTGATTAGAGGTTGTTGACATGGGGAAGCTGCAGGTGGGCTAACTCAAAGTGGGGGATCTTATGTGATTGGTTTGGTGCACATTGTTGGCTTTCTCTGGTTAGTCCTTAGTTTAAATGGGGGGGCAGCAAAAAAAAAATAGGGAATCTGGCCAAGTCCTGCCTGTTCTGGGCTGATAACTATGGCTACAGAGGTCGTGGGTCAGAGTTCTATTTTCATATAAGGTCTAGCCTTTGTCCGTTTGTATATTCAGTGTTTTATAGGCTTTTCACCAACCTTGACATTTTTCTTGCCATCCTTTCTGGTGGCAGCTTTTCAGTCCCTTGATTTCCTGGGATGAGAAAGGATTAGTTTCCTGATACATCTTCCAGATCCTTCTGTTCCATTCCAATCAGTCACTCTTCTGTAATTCATGAAGCTCCACTCCATCCCCATGTTCTTTTCTGTTATCTACTAAACTCACTCGAGCCCATCGGATATATACTAGATAACATAGATATCACTACTTTGTTTTTAGAAGCTAATCGTCTAGCAAGTGACATTGATACACTAAAAATATTTCAGTACCTCTTGGTAAGTGGTATAACAGAAGTGAAATAAAAGTTGACTTCAGTGACATTTTAAGTTGGTCTGAGGTATAAATAGGCAAAGGAGAAGAGGGGAATGATGGCTGGATAGGATATGAGAGGTGCCAACATAGGTCTGGACTGGAAATATAAAGAGATTGGGGCATTTGGTGGGGCTGCACTGCATATTGACTGACCCCCTCTTCTCATTCCTCAACCTCCACGTCATTCTGATTCCCACCAGAGACCTAATTATCCTCTAGAATTGCATCATGTTGAATGCCAGCTCCCGATATATTACCAGTACAACCTGCTGAGAGGACAAAACTGAGTGTATTGCTTAAAGCTGTAGGAGGAACCACCACCCCAGCAGAGCTTTGGCAGTGTCTCAAGGGGGAGCAGCAAGGTCAGAATTTATTGAGAACATGAAGTATGGCAGAAGGCAGGTCTTTCAGTGCCAAGGGTAGGTCAGGGGATGGGAGGAAGGCTTGAATTGGATTGGGTAAAGATCATGAAAGAGCAGCCTAGCACTGATGGGACTAGAAAGTAAAGATTTATGGGGCAGGGTGCAAAGAATGTTAGGGCTTAATCTCTGTGTTGATGCTTACTACTGAAGGTGCGTCTTTCAGGATGTTCTGTAGTGAACACTCAAGCTATTTGTCTTCACAGGGGTCTCTTGGAATGGTAAAATCCTGCTAATGAGGACAACAGAATAATGAAGTCATATTAATGTAGACAATAAACTCAGTGTGGGGGAAGAAGTTTCAGTTCTCACTCACCCACAGTGTCTCAAAATCTGGAATCCAGGTCTCATTCCAGGTCTCTACTTTTTAACTCACAGGCTCTAATGCTTCTGAGTTTTTTTTCTTGGACTTCCTCATCACTTCAGTAAATCCTAGTCTCCTTTTTATAAAACTCCTCTTTGCTTCCCAGCCTGAGTAATCTGTTTAACTTCATGTTTACTAGTAATCCATAAAAAGAGCAAGCAAGATGTAGAATACTGTAAAATATAACCTGAAGACATCAGAACTTTTTATATTAAAAGTCTTGGGTGAAGGGGCGCCTGGGTGGCTCATTTGGTTAAAGCGACTGCCTTTGGCTCAGGTCATGATCCTGGAGTCCCAGGATCGAGTCCCGCATCGGGCTCCCTGCTCAGCAGCGAGTCTGCTTCTCCCTCTGACCCTCCCCACCCTCATATACTCTCTCTCTCTCTCAAATAAATAAATAAAATCTTAAAAAAAAAGTCTTGGGTGAAGTCCATTTAAAACAAAGAATATCTTAAATTTTTGTCTTTTAAAACAATAAAACAAGTATGGTGGGAAAATCCAAGTGGTATTAAATCTCAAAGTATTAATAATGAAGGAATTAGAAGATTATATTAATAAATAATTGAGCTCACTGTTAAGTTTGAATGTGTATGTTCTTTCTTTGGATCCGTTTTCAACCTTTTATGTATTTTCCTACTTCTTAGCCCAAGGATATTTATTATGTTCTAGTTTTTCTAATGTTTTAATGTTTTGTAGAAAAATGCTATGTTGTAGGGCTAATTTCTTTGTGGATTGAAAAAAGATTAGGCTGATATCATTTGTTCTTTAGAGATGGGTTAATTCCTGTGTATTCTCTTTCTTTTTAGGCCAATTTGCGTCAGAAAGCTACTCACTCAGTACAAACTGATCTCAGTCACATGAGAAGAGAAAATTGTTCACAGGTGTACCCACCCAAGGATGCTGGCACGCAGTCTAAGAGTGAAGGCAGCAGCCGCGTGCCCAGGCCCCAGATTTACATAGCTGGTCTCCGTGGGGGACAGGGTAAAGTCACCTCTGGGGTCAAGGTGAACTTAACTAGAGCTGTTGATGAGACCTAGTTAGAGACTGAATTTTTAAAGTAGATCTCACCAAGTTATGAGCAGTGGCAAATATTGACAAGTATCTTTGCATCCTTTAAAATTAGTTAATTTTGTGGGTCTGGCACATTCATCGGTTGTGTGAATGTTTTCTGGATTCTCATGTATATTCGCTGTCAGCCTGCTACAAAAAACTAAAAGTTGTTTCTGTAACACATTTTGCATTCTATTAAAATTGAAAAGTAAAACTCTGTCCACTCAGCTTTTATTTGTCAGAAAAGGTTTGGCAGCATTAAAGGCTGAAATTATGATGCTCTTTAGATATTAATATATTTATAAGATTGTGACTGAGATAGAAGCTTATTTATTTCTAAAATCACATTTAATGTTAAACATTAAAATTTTAAAGGCTAGTCAGTATTTTCAGCCTCATTAGCTATTAAATGTTAACATAGATTAAATTGATGTATAATAAGACCTCGCTAATTTGGAATAATTAGAGCAGAGGTCCACGTGAATTTTAAAAATCTGGGAAATTTTACATAAAATCTGGATTTCTGGCCCCTTGAAAAAAATCAGAATATTTGGCAGTACTTGGCTAGTATTCCTGTGAATAGTAGCTGTGCTCTTTCGTAGGCCAGGCACTTCCGGTCCCCCTTCCTGCTGCCTTGCCTTATTTGCCTGACCCCATTGGCAGTTGCGTTTAGGGCCCATGTGAATTACTGATAGCTGAATTTTAGAGCTATAATTTTATTACTGTCTTACATAATTTTAATACCAACTCCTGGATAATAAAGACTCCCAGGTGGAGAGACTGTTAAACATGCTTTAGTGATGAGGGGATCATTTATATTTAGTGTATTTTTTCCTGCCTTGGTGACCTTTATTAAGGTGTTTATATAATTTGTTTTCTATGTAGGTTAAATGTTATTTATAATATGAATATGTTTCAAAATCAGTTTTCCACATATATCATAAAGGTAAACTTCAAACAGACCTACTTCTCAGTGTTCATGATTTTCATAGCTGTAGTTTAAAAATGATGTTAAAGATAGGTGGGCTGGCTGTTGAGGCAAGGCCTGGGGCGGGGGGCAAGGATCTGGCCTTGAAGGAGGTGGGATGGTGAGAGCTAACACTGAACTTTACAACATCAGATTTTTTATTTTATCTGTTCTATCAACCCTCATTCGATTCTGCAAGACTTCTAAACACAGAAAAGAAGGGCTGGTGAGCCATAATTTGGGTTATCAAGTTAAGGCTGGAAGTAAAATTTCCAAATAATAAAAATACCAAACCCAGTTGGAAAAGCTCAGTTTAATATCAGAAAGTTGCCTGGTAAGTACAATAGAGCCAGAATAAAGGGAGCTAGACCAAATGGTCCTCTGCTGGGATCTTGACCATCCACCCAAGCCCTAGTGCTCTCTAAACATTCCCAACCACATGCTGGACCCTGCGTCAGATGGTCACGCCCGTTTCAGCAGGTTGCAGGCCAAACTCATTTTCTTAGACTTGTGTCTCCCTCTGTATTTCTTTCTGTGGTCAAAGGCCTCACCATCTACTCAGTAGTAGACATTAAAAACTTTTTGACTGCCTTTTCCTCACAGCCCCTACATTTAATAAGTCAGCAAGCCCTATTGATTTGAATTGTCTGAGTCTGTTTTCGTCACCACTGCTATTGTTTAGGACTTAGTCCTATTATCTGATTCATTGGCATAATGTTTCTAACATATAAATCTGATCATTGTCACCCTGTCCCCTTCCCCCAACTTTTACTTCCTTCACTTAAACAGCTACCAAGTCTCATTTCTATTACCTAGGGGATAATGGGAAAACTCCTTCACATATTATGTAAGACTTCAAAATATATCCATTTATCTTCCAGTTTCATTTTCTGCTCCTCTCTTGCTATCTCCTTACACTATACATATTAGGCAAGTTGAACCAAACTCTTCAAATAGGTCATTGTCTTTAATACCAACGTCCTCTGCTCTTGCTTTTCACTGTCACCTGGAATGTACTCCACAGACACCCTCATGAGATTATGTTTGTCCTCAGACTGATCAGGTTTTACCTTTTCAGTAAAGGTTTTCCCCATCACCTTTGGGAGAATTAATTGCTTCGTCCTTTGGATTTTCACTAGATTTTAGTTAGACCCTTAGTAGAGTACTTAAAGTCAAGAGGTATACATGTGGTCCTCTGTATTCTCCCTGTTAGATTGTGAATTCCTTGAGATTTGAACTGTGTTCTAGCCATTTTTATACCCCTGGCATTTGTATAGTATGTTGTTAGATGAATGAATGAATAAAAAGGGAATAAATGAAAGAACAAACTAGAGGCAGGCTATTGGTCAAGTGATTATTTTAATAGTCAAGGTGGGAATTGGTAAGGAGCTCAGCAGCAGAGGAGTCATTGGAAAAGAAGAGAGAATGGAACAGAGGAAAAAGGAGATTATTTTTTGACAAGTGGTGGGAAATAAAGTTGGATAAGTCATGTTGGTATAGCTTTTGGAGAACGTTGAAAGCCAGGCAGAGGAATATGTTGCCTGTCTGAGGTCAGACATTAGGAAATCATTGCAGATTCTTGAACAGAAGATTGATTGTGGGAGAGAGATGCTATGTTTGGGGAGATGGCTAGGAAGCTGTGTTGCAAGAATTAGGGTATGTGGTAATGGATGACATGAAGGGCAAATGTGAGATTTAATGAACAGGATAGAACATCTGAGGAAAAGGAAGGAAAAATCACAGTATGACTTCAGGGTGTCTACCCTAGGAGACCGAGGATAATTGGGAAGAGGAGCTGGTTGATCAAAAAAGAGAACATGTTCAGTACTAGAAAAATTGTGTTTAAGAGATAACAAATAAAGCAGAGGTGACTGGAATTTGAACTGGACAAAGATAATTTGGGAGGTCACCCCAAGGGAATGGGGATGGAATGAGGAGGAAGAGACAAAATGAGACGGAGGAGCAGTCAGAGGAGTAGAAAAAGACATAAGGAATCTCTGTGGTCAAAGAAGTAAAGTCAAGGTCTACTACTTACTAGCTTAAGTTTTTAGCATTAAGTAATTAATGTTACTTAATATTTTTCTGCTGCAGTTTCTTCATCATGAAAATTGGGATACTAATAGTTACTAACTCATTGGGTTGTCAAGAGGATTAAATGAGTTAACCCATGCAAAGCATTTATATGGTAAGTGCTTTGTTAATGTTAACCAAGAAAGGAGGGAGTCTCCGGTGTCTCATTCTACTGCATTCCCATCTTCATTTTGCCCACTTTCTGTTTTCAAGCTCTCCGTCAGTGCCTCGAATAATGCTTGGCACATTGTGGCTTTCAGTCAATGTCTGATGAATAAACAGAAGCGGATGAGAAATGAGAAAAGTTCAATGGAGTAGGCAACTGCTGAGCTCCGTTTTAATAGAGTTGGCTTGAGTAGAAGACCGCAGTAGGCAGAAAATGGTAGAAATAAGTACAGACTACAAATCAGTACTGCTTGGCAGGAAAAGAAAAATGAGATTATGGTAGCTAAAAAAGGAAGCAGAGGCAAGGGAGAGTTAAGTTCCAATAAGAAATGTTTAGATGTTGATGATTGTTACTCATGTTTTGCTCTTTAAGTCTAGACACTGAATTTTACATTGTCTCCTTGTATTTTTTAACTTTCTCAATTACAAAATGCAACAATTCTTTTTAACTTGTCTTTAGTAATATTACACCATAGGAAGGCATTGTTTTAAAATACTAACCTAGCAAATTGGGATGTAATTTTCTTAATAGCAGAATGAGAAAAACATGCTTAAATTGTCATGGAAACAATTATGTTTAGGTGTCTGCATTTGCCTAAATGTTCTTTATGGTTAATGATTTACTTTACTTGAACTTTTACCACTTTTAATAATCTATTATATAGCTACATCCTGAATTTGACTATAGCTTCCTTAAGCCTTTTGGCTTGCTTACTGCACAGCTTACACTTTTACTTTAGTACCAATGGAGAGAGTAATGGGCTGCCTTGTATATAATTCATTGAGACTAGGGTAGCTCTCATGCCTGAGCAGAGATAGATTTCAAGGCAAATACTGCAGCTTGGTAATGACCATCGGGAATATCATTAGGGTTTCAGATGGCGATATAGCGGTAGTTGTTGGAGACACAGTCAGGTTAGCTCATTATCAGGCAAATGACCCTGTGGTTCACATGTTGAAGATGACTGCTTCTAGCAATAACCACGGTTGTAGAGAAGGCTAGGCATACACAAAAGCAGCACATTAAGTCACCAGGTTTTCCTCCAAGACGGGATAATTCAGAATGAGAAAGTACAATTTAGCTCACATGTAGAGAATGTAAATATCTGCTTGGCCATTCATTGGGCTGAGATAGCAAACAGAAATACCAGCTGGAAAGTTAACAGGAGATAATATTTATCTGAAGGGTATGCTCAGTAAAGTATAATAACCACCCCCTCTTCTGAGTGTCTACTTTCTAACTCAATGAAACATTTTGTTCTCTGAAAGCATATGGGGTTAGGAACCTTGCTGTTGAAATTGTTATCAGTAGGAATGAAAGGGTCTGCTTTTGCTTGGAGGATTTAAGTCACTTTGACACAAAGAAGCAGCCTCAATTTCCAACCTAGAAGCAAAGCCTTCCATTTCAGGGGCTCCTGAATAGAGCAGTCCACATCCGGTAACTTTGTTGTTTTCAAGAAACAGGATCCTGAGACTATTCTTCAGTCCAGGTCTGATGTTGACTTCTTATTAAACAGCCGTGAATTCGAATCAAAACACTGCTTCCTTTAAATTTCACCCAAGTCTGTCCATCTCCCAGATTTTATAACTCTTTCTTTGTTTCCAGAGACATCCCACACAATTTCTCTGGTGTGAGATTTCCCTCACTGGAATGGGTCAATATATCTGACTCTCTCTAAATACAGGTTTGTCCCTAGGCTGAACAGGTTAGGACAAGAGGCATCAAAATCTAGTCAAGGTTCATGCCAATGCTTTGGGGCAATTAAAATTTATTAAGAAAAGTAGGGTTCAGTAGCATATGTTATGTGAACCAGAAATGTCACAAAAAACAGCCCAACAGCATTTTACCTACCACCCTAATTATAATTTGTGTGTGTGTGTGTGTGTGTGTGTGATACTATTCTCTACCAGAAAGAACCATAGTTCGTTGAAGTGTAGTTGATTCCATGACCTAGGACAGGGAAATATCAAGATTGGCTGGAACCTCTTGTTGCCAGAAATAAAGAATGCTTCAAAAATCTTGTGCAGATGTAAAGAAAGGAGTAGGTTTACAAGGGTCATATTGGGATAACTTGAGCATCAAAAGGAGAAAAATTATATTTAATTAGGTTGAGACCATAATGATACTCCAAAATGGGAAGAGATAAACTGCACAAAGCTGTGGTTGTAAAACAAAAGAAGGAATGTATGATGGAATGTTTTCCATTATTAAAATTAATTTCAAGTACATGTGTGAATTTTTTGTTTAAGTGTATATATAGGAACATATGCAATAAGGAACTGTACCAATTACAGGAAGAGGTGAGAAGCACCAGTGAGCACACATACAACCCCGTAGAGGGAAGGTCCAACAGTGTTCCAAAATGAGATTAATCAAATGTCCGACTCTACAAAGCTTCTTCTCATAGTAATGTGATGCTAATAAGGCATGCAAATTTTTCCAATAATGTTAGTAGACTAGATTTATCTACACATATATATATCTAGTGATAAGACAATGGCATATAACAATCACTCAAACCTCTTAAAAAGTCATTTTAGGGAAAGATGGTGCTACGGGAGGTGTAGGCTTCTGGGTATCTCAGATTCTTGTATCCCTGTTCCTGTAAGGGATGAGATACCTTTATATTTTAACCAATCCACGTTATCTGGAAAGGCTTTCATTTTGCCAATGAATTATTTCTAGCATCGCTTAATGCTTATTAATATCCTCTAGTGAAAGTGAAGATTACAGCGATTGAAGTAAATGCCTGTTGACACGTCCAATATTTTTGAAGCCCTTTTGTTGTGAGAAGATCACGTAGTTAGAATGTCTGGCCAAGTAAATATAATCAATGACAATGCTGACAATAAGGACACAGCCATAAGACTTCTGAAAAATACATAAATCATATTAAGTTTAAGTAAGAGGTAACAATGCAAGGTAATGAGCAAAGTGGAAGTTACAAAAGTTGCCGAAAGTAGTTTCTGTTACTCTGCGGGTTCTGGGGGTTTCTACAACAGCTCTGACAGGCATAAATCACCAAGTCTTAACTCAAGTCCTATTTGCTACCATATCACCTTGGTGAGGACTACAATTCCCAGAAGGCAACGCTCTGCTCCCTTGACCCGGCTTCCTTAGCCGGCCGGGAGATGTAGTTTACAGAATGACGCCTTCGACTCGAGTTTTACGCACTTGTCAGCAAGGACTCGGCCGTAAAGGCCTCTCCTCCATCCGGGTCTTCCCATTTGCGGGGGTAGCTTGGATTGCTGAGCCTAATCTTGGTGCCAGGCTGGGCAGGAAGTCGGCGGACGGTCGGCGGGCGAGGCGCTCTAGGCCGAGTGATTTTCGTCTCTATGACCACAAGGAGGCGGTCTCGGGTGTCCCGAGGACGGCGCGCGGAGGGGGCGTGCGTCAGTTCCGCGCGGGGCTGTCGGGGAACCATGGCTGCCCCAAGAGGTGAGGCCTGGGGCCGCCGGGACTGGGGAGTCCACGGGGGGCGGTGGCGCGCGAGCGTGAGCTCCTGCCCGCGCCCGCGGGGCTCTGGGGCCAGGCCGAGGCGTCGGGCATCAGGAGTTTGTTTGGAGCCGCTCTGTGGCGTGAGCCTGTGCCGCCGCCTGTCTGGGAGGCGCGGGGCAGTCAGCCTCCTGTGGCTGCCTTCCCCTGGCGGACCCCGCTCGGAGCCGCTTGGCAGCCCCAGACCGCGCCTGCCCCGACGAGCTTGCAGTGAGTGGGTGGGAACCACATTCAGACAGTCCGGGGCTGCGGTGGACCCGGAGAGGGGCCGGAGCGCAGGTCCCGGGCTGGACCCGCATCACCCGGCGGGAGGCAGGACTGTGCTCCCTTCCGGCCGGGGTCGTCGCGGCTACGGTCTCTTCGGCGCCTTCTGCCCTACGGATGCTCAAGAGGCTTAAGGGCATGCTCCGGGCGCGGAGCCCAAGTAGCGGCTGGTCCCTGTAACAGCCACAGAAAACATCACTGGGGCGTTGAAACAGCGCAGAAACCGTAACGAGATGGAGAAAGCAGTCGTTAACAGAGTTCCTTCCCTGGAGAATATTGTATGTGGTTAGAAGGAACACTTTGATATTTTGGGTGGAGGGCGAGAGCCACCGCTTTCCCCCCAGGGATGGCACATTAGAGTAATAATATTTGATGACTAATTGCCATTTCATGAGAGTGATTCTGATTAACCCCGAAGCACTTTGTTTTGCTGAGTGGGGTATGTAAGTTAGAACAGAGCTGAAATTTTTGGACCTCAGAGCTGTAGCTAGGACAGGTTGAGCAACACCCGGATTCCTTCTCCACCCTTCTCCCACAGAGCTTTGGCTTCACCTCTGAATAAATGTTACAAAAATACTTACAGGATATCTTTCTGCTGGGTGCCAAGCTATTTTCCTGGTTGGGGAGCCCATGTTTATCATAAAGCCCTGCCCAGGGGCATTGTCTGTGGTTGCGTATCATGCTCTTAGGCATTCTCCCATTTCAAGTAAGCCCAACCTTAAGAGTCTTTTTGTAGCAACACAGGAAATAAGGGGAAAAAAATAGAACTGTTTTGATAACTAACATAGGATGGGGACAGCAAGATTAATGATGAGCAAAACTTGAAAGTTACAGAACTCAAATCATCTGAAATAGTTGCAGTAATTTACAGATTTAGGCTTATTGTCAGTAAATATTTGTTGTGCCTTTGCCATAAGTCTTATATCCCCACTATAAATGTATGATACTAACATTATATTATAAAGATATATTAAATACGTAATTTATTATATCCCAAACTAGTGTCAGTCTTCCACATAATCTTGCAGTTGAAGCATTCTTCAGGAACAAAATCTTTGCTTAACTGGTTGACATTTAAAATCAGCTGTGTTTTGTGTATGTATACGTGTGTGTTCATGTATTTGGAAAGTTTTGTGAAATTTTCAAATGTCATGGGTTTTAAGAAGTATTTTGTGTTTGAAGTTGGGAAGCATTTTGAGGTATAACATTGATTAACTTCTATAAACTTAATGCTGTCTACTAAGTAATATCTTTGTTGTACATATTTTCCAGAAAATGTCAGTTTATTATTCAAGTTATACTGCTTGGCAGTGATGACCCTGGTGGCCGCAGCTTATACCGTAGCTTTAAGATACACAAGGACATCAGACAGAGAACTCTACTTTTCAACCACAGCCGTGTGTATTACAGAAGTTATAAAGTTATTGCTAAGTGTGGGAATTTTAGCTAAGTGAGTATAAATGTTTTTTAGTGTGTTAAATTGTTAATTTTCCACGCAGTTAAGGTATTTTCTTTATTAGAAAATTCAAGCTATGTCTTCATATGTTTGATTGCTCTAGAGCTGTGTTTCTCAACTTGGGGCAGTTTTGCTCCACAGGAGATCTTTTTTGGTTGTGTCCACTTGGCTGATGCTCCTGGCATCTGCTGGGTGGAGGCTGAGGATGCTCCTGAACTTTCTACAACGGACAGAACAGCCCTCCGCAACAGAGAATCACCCAGCCCCATGTGTCAGTAGAGCTGAGGTTGAAGAACCCTGCTCCAAACCAGGGGTTGGCAAATTATGACCTGGGGGCCAAACCCTGTTTGCTGCCTCTCTTCGTTGCAGCAGAGACTGTGTGACTCATGAAGCCTAAACTATTTACCATTTAACCCGCACAGAAAAGAAGGACTGACTTCTGTTGTAGAGGCATATATGATAATAATAATGTTTCTTGAGTGTTTTTGTGTGTTAAGTGCTAGGCGCTGTGCTAAGTGCTTTTCATATAAATCATCTGATTTAATCTGTATGCATTTTTTAGATAAGTACTATACCCCTGCTTTACCTGTACAGCATCTGAGGTGCCTCAGTGTTACACCTTTATAAATATGTGGTGGCACTGGGCTTTGACCTGGTAACATTGTATGAGAATCATTCTAGCTAAGGGTGCAGTGTAAGAGAGGTTTAGGAATAGGGGCTTTGGAGTGACACAGACATAATTTTAAAACTTGATGCAGTGAGATTATGACTTTGTACACATCTCTTAACCTCTCTAAGCTTTAGTTTCTTTATTTTTTAATTGCAGAAAATAATATAGGGTTGTGAAAATTAAATAAAATCCGGTAGGAAATTGCATTGGGGAAAAATTGATGAGATGCGGACCCTTTTGGGTCATTTGGCAGGTGAGAACTCATACAGGTTTCAAAATGAGAGTTAGTGAGAGTGGGGCACCAGTGAGGAGTGGCATGTGGGTAAGCTTTTAGGTAGAAACAAAGTTCATACAAACACTTTTAAATTTCATTTAACAAATATTTATTGATTTTTGTGTTATGGTTTTTTAAGAGGTGTTGAATATACCTATATATGAATGAAATAGATAAGGTTTCTCCTTGCTTGGAGCTTAGGCTTAGAGGAAGAGAGAGAAAATAAACCAGTAAATACACGCATGATGACAAATAATCATGTGAAAAAATACTCTAAAAGTGGTTTGGGGAGGGAGAAAAGAACAAAAATAACTTGAGGCCACATGATGGCAAGCTTTAATATATTTGAGTTTCACACGCTTGGGTGGCTCAGTCAATTAAGCATCTGCCTTCTGCTCAGGTCAGGATCTCTCAGCGGGGAGTCTGCTTCTCCCTCTCAGACTGTCCCTCTCCCCTGCTGGTGCTCGCACGTTCTCAAATAAAAAAAGTCTTAAAAAAAACTTATCTTTTGGGCTGAGATACTGTGGCAGCTTAACTTGTTAGGTTGCAAGTAGGGTAAAATTTCAGACCTTTCACAGTTTCTTAAGATTCCTTTTCATGGAGATTTGGCTTTGCTTAGGGGATTCTTCATTCTGGATAACGTCAGATAAATGAGAGGTCTTGTTGTACCTTTAAAAGGCAATGTTCCAAAGGCAAAAATCTCTGTTGAAAACTCTACGACAACTTCTACATAACAACCTAAGAGTTTAATAAAATCTTAAGGCTTGGCTTCTTTTACGACAAACATAGAGATATTGGAAGAAGAGGGATAAGGGAACCCATCTCTTCTTTTTTCCCTCTGAATTCTATGGGGAGAAAAAATTGTGACTCAAGAATGAAATAGGACTGTCAGGCATGACATCAGCCATTTTGAACTGTAAGGTCACATCATGATTCAGTTGTTCAGTAACTGTTAGGAATTTTTAAAAACCAATGTGCAAAAAAAAAGCAGTGAAGCCTTTGGTGTAACTCAGCCATTGAGCTGTGTTCTGCCAACCCACCTGTATAGACTTTGTTTTACTTTGATGCTTTTCCATCCTTGCAAAGCTTGGTGTGTAGTATTTCTTTTTCTTCAGTTATTCCATGTTATGGGTATGGTCAGTTGTAGTTTATTTTCTGGAAGCCTTTTTGGAAATTACATAAAAATAAAAGCACAAAAATTTCTAAGAATTTGCCAGACAAGTCAAATAATGGTGCTGAAATAACAACCGTGTGGAAAACCAAAAACTGTACTTGATCAACATCATCATCATCAATAATTAGTTGCTGTGTCTCTCACCAGCATGATGTAAAGGCTTACAAGAGAGGCTCTGTTATGAACCCGTACCTGCAGAGTACACAAGACCAGAGACAACCAAGAAAAGTAAAGAATTATGACATACGTAGTTTTGGTAGTTGGCCTTTGACATTATATGGCTAACAAGAATTTGGGGGTCGAGAAGAATCATTTAAAGCACACAGAGTTTCTAAGTGGAAAAAGCACTGGCAAAAAATTTACAAAACATGAAACTAGATACATTTGAAATTATTGAATTTTAAAGTGAATATAATTGTTATGGAGAATGTGTTGGTAAATTTTCATGTGCTTATTCAAAACACATTGGTAGAAAATAAATACCTGTGCTTCATAACAAGAAAATATTTTATTTCTTGGAACAAAGAATTTACTTAGAATGCTCATTTCTTAGAATGGTAAAAAAGTGAAAGATAAAGGAGAATTATTTCAACCTAGGAAGTCACAGATTGATACTTACAAAATGAAATGAAAGGACAATGCAGTTGCTTCTTTAGCAATATGTGATGAGACACTTGATAATGAAACTAAACACGGCTATTTGGGAAAGATACCCCAGTGAAAATGTTGAAAGTTGGTTCTAGATCTTGAAGGGACAACTAGCTTATATTAATAAGCTGTTAGTAACTGTTTCCAGTTTGGAATATGGAAAAGATGAATAAAATACATGGCCAGACTCTGGGCTACTAGAAATGAACAGTTAAAAGTTACACAAATGAAAGACCCAGTAACTTTATATTTGTCTTTTTGATTTAATTATGTGAGGTTTGCAAAGAAGTAAAAGATTTTCTAGATACTCTCCATGCTCTCATTTCTTTGTATACCTATTAAAACTGGTAACTTAAAAAAAGTGGGTCAAAGGCAAATAGGATGTTATGTAGTGGGTCAAAAACACAAGTTGGATATTACTGCTTTATTTTACTGTGATGGAGAAACTTAAAATATCAAAGTATTTGTGGTAAGAGATTAGATTTTGTTTTCAAAGTAGAAGCAATACTTTATCATTTCAGAGAGGATAACAATTTCAGGACATTGTGGGAGAATGTGAAAGAATTACATTAGAAGTAACTAAAAGTTTATTCCTTAAAAATCTTCTCTTCAGAGAAGAAAAAGAAAAAATTAGATCCTGATGATAAAATAAAATTTCTCCCATACTGTGAAAATAAAGTTAATGTAAAAATTAGATAACGTGTTAACCAAATTCTGATTTGGAAATTTTGGAGGACAGGAAAAGGAAAAAAACCCGGAACTATTTAAATGGAAAAAAAATTATTAAAGGAAGTACAGGCTTCTTCGCTTCTTCCCACTCTTTACCTTATGATAAAGTGCAACAGTTTTATAGAGTTGACATAAATATTGTTTCAGAACTTTAATTTTATCTGAACTATGCAGAGCCTAACCTCATAGACCAGTTTGCTGTTTGTTTATTTAGTATGGTCTCTACAGTAATGCTCTTTGCTCGGTAATATGTTTGGTCTTGGCTGATTGTTAAAGAAGTACATATTTTATACTATGTAGAGATGGGGGCAGAGACTCAGGAAAGTTCTTGAAATTCTTTTTTTTTTTTTTAAAGATTTTATTTATTTGACAGCGAGAGACACAGCCAGAGAGGGAACACAAGCGGGGGGGAGTGGGAGAGGGAGAAGCGGGGAAGCCCGACGTGGGCCTCGATCCCAGGACCCTGAGATTATGACCTGAGCCGAAGTCAGGCAATTAACGACTGAGCCACCCAGGTGTCCCAGTTCTTGAAATTCTTAATGTCTTGCTCATAATTAAGGTTCACTTACAGAGAAACACATCACTGCCACATCCAAATAATCTGTTTCTCTTCCTCCAAACATTTTAAACATAGTCATGCTTATGTCTATTTCAGTATATTGATGTAATGGGACAGTCAGGGTCATTCATTTATTCATTCATTTACCAAACCCCAGTTATGTGCTCAACACTGTTTCAGATGTGAGAAGTATAGTTGCAAACTACAAAGGCATAGTTCTGTCCCAATGGAGCTGATAGTCTAGTGGAGAACCAGATATTAGGCAAATGAGTAATTTGCAGTGTTAAGAAGGGTAAGTAGAGGATGCTGTAAATAAGTATAATAGAGGGTCTCCATTTGGGTTGGAAGGCTCTCTCGCTGAAAAAGTTACATTTAAACCTAGACCTGAAGATGAGTAGAAGTTGTGTAGGAAAAGAGCATAGAGAGGCAGAGAGAACAGTGTGTTTGTGAAGTCCCTGCAGCAGAAAAATTCTTGACTCTTAAGTAACAACAGCAGCAAATCAGTATGTCTGCAGTGTTGTGAGAAGGGAGTGGTGCTAAGATGAAGCAGGAGAGGTCTGCAGGGTCTCAAGAATAAGTCCATGGGCCTGTGAAGAATTTTGGATTTAAGTGCATTTGGAAATAATTGAGTGGTTTAATTCAGGGACTAACCATGGTAATGCATTTTGCTTTAAGAGTCACATTGATCTTTGAGGAGAATGGATTAGAAGGGTGCAAAGAGTTGGAAGTAAGGAAGCTTATTAGAGGCTAGACATAATGGCCTACTATAACAACACAGGATGAAGAGAAGCTAATGGATCTGAGTTATGTTCTGGAAGTAGAATCTGTAGGACTTGGTGATGGGGTTGGGTACATAGTCGATTCGTATTTTTCACAGTAGTTATGTTCTATGAGGTCACCATGGACACTGAATTAGTGAATATTGATCTAGTGCTGCTAG